ATATATATATATATATATATAGGACTCGGAGGTCTAGTGGCAGCAGCAACAACACTCCTGAGATGAGAGTGCTACAGCGATTGGTCGCGCAGCAAAAGCAGATGCCGCACCAAAAAACACAAAGAATGACAATGCTCATTGTTTTGGTGGTTGTGATGGCCATCGTCATCGTCATCAGCATCGTCATCATCACCAACATGATCACGCAGAGGCAGCAGCAATAGCCACAACAAGACTATAGGATGGCCATGAATCCTGAAGGAGCACGCGTACCGTTGTACTCCAAACTCTTCCTATCCCATACCCCAAATGTCCTGATCCTTCACGCCCGTTCCACCAAGTTGACACCCACCGACCCCATGGGTATGAATAAAGTACTAGGCCCCTGTACCCTGCCTCCGGCTTTGTCGATTTGGCTGACACAAGCCGGAGTTCCAAAACCCATGGCTTCCAGCCCAGGAAGAGCAACCCGCACAGCTACGCGCGCAGCGTTGCCGGGGCCAGTGGCACAGTGCCCGAGGATGCAGTACCTTGGCATTTTCTAGAAGGTCGTTCTGGGGCTCTGGGTTTTGGGTTTAGGGTTTATATAAAGGACAGCCCGGAAGGAGTTGTCGGATCTGTTCGCAGGGAGGGGGGGACTTGGAGAGGTGCTATGTAACGGTCAGCAATGGTCGTTGGCGTTGGGCTTAAAGGCCCGATCTGACGTGCTGTCATGAAGTCAGACTATGCAATGTTGAGTTTGAGTGGTTTCAAGCTTCCGGCTTGGTTTAGGGTTTAGGGTTTTCAGATATTTTAAGCATGTGACCGATTAGCTGAATGCTTACTTGCTCCTACTCCTGCCTGGGGTTCGCGAGTCTTCAGACCCAGATGCTCAAGCTTGACGTAATATCCCTGACCGCGCGTAAATATTATCCCTGAACCATTACACCCTTGAATCCCCAGCCCTTAAAGAAGAAAGAGCCAGCACACAAGGACGTCCTCAATGTGGAGGTTCGGTTCTGCGGCAAGTCGGCACCTTCGCCGCACAGCGCACCATCTCGAAGCCCGGTACTTTCAGCCAACGGCCGCGCAGAAATCTATAGACCGATGTAGAAGTGTATCCCCAGGACCCGAGTCTATGTCTAGGTTTTGTCTGTGAGTTGGTGCCTGCATCGAGAATGCTCTGTTCCGGGTTACACTATGAATAGGGGCCCCGCAATAGTGTGTAATTTATTGGGGAAACGAAATCATGAAGAACAGGCAGCGACACTGAGACTTTTTCTTGTACCGCAAATGCTGTTCGCATGTTTGCCATGTCTGCTATTTGGAGGATACCCGCGAATTGCATCATCGTTTTGCTGTTACGATTGCCGTCATGTTATTTGTGGTACCGCAGTTACTAGCAAGTGGCACGGTCGGTTATTCCTGTTGTAATTTGGGTCCTTGAGCCCCGCAGTACACCCTAATGGGTAGTAACAGCCGTAATTGAAAATTGTAGTATAGTGTGACTCCAAACAACCCTAGACCCTAAACCCTAAACCCGAGTAGCCCCCAAAATGTAGTATTCTATCCGCAATAAGCCATAGTAGTGTTACTTCACAGAGCCCTAGAACCCCTAAACCTAAACCCTAAGAGTATGCTGACTCCCAAACCACCGCGGCTCCCTTTCGAAGAGACCAGGTCTTGAGCGAGCCTGCCACGGCCAGAAGCTCAAACAGCTAGTCCTGGCTCAGTTGGGAAACCCTAAACCCTAGGCTCCTGTCCCCTGCCTCAACCAACATGGTATTCCGGAGCCCTTATCAGGCGAAGGAAAAGAGGTGATAAAAAAAAACCCTAAACCCGAAGCCCTATACCCTAAACCCCTACCCTCAGGCCTAAACCCTAAACCCTGTCAGGAGTTTAGGAGCCGCAGGCCTGAAGGGTTCGACTCGTTGGGCTCCGTACGGGTATGGGGTCCTGGTTCAGACAGGGTCCGTTTTAGAAAGGATCCTACCTATATAGCCTCCACTGTAGGTCCTTTTTAGAAAGGATCCTACCTATATAGCCTCCACTGTAGGTCCTTTTTAGGAAGGATCCTACCTACAGAGCCTCCACTGTAGGTCCTTTTTAGGAAGGATCCTACCTATAGAGTCTCCATTGTAGGGCTACCTATAGAGTCTCCATTGTAGT